CTATAAGGTTCATACTAACCGGGTTTAAATTAATATTTAATATTAATTTAAAGATTTTACACTTTTAATTTAACTTTTATCTATTTAAAATAATTATGAAGTGGAATTAAATTAGTAAAAAAAATTAATTTTTAAATAAATGGATTTGTTTGTTTATAAAAAATGGATTTATTTGTTTATAAAAAATTTAAAAAAATATAAATATTTTTCCAATTAATTTAAAATAAATGCATGGCATTCAATGCATTTCTTTCTTTAAAAAGCATTTAATGCGAATAGCTCACCGACCTTGGCCTTGGTGATATTAAGAGTACATGTGAATAACACTGTCCAGTCGGAATCACCAACAAACAACCGTTGAATTATGTAATTTGTATAGATATTGGTAGGATAAACAAACCTAACCGTTTTCATTAATTAATTATATATAGAAAATTACCGTTAAATTAGTTAAAACATTGTCAACATGAACATAACTCAATAAATAAATAAGATAAATGTACATATACGAGTACTATAGTACCTTGTATATACACGTGTACGGTATTTTTTGTTGTCAATTTTAGCATCGTTCATGTGAGATCTTACAACGGTTGAGAAGGAGAATAAAACATTCTTTATAGGATGTGTAAATCTCTCTCTAATTAGATACATTTTAAAAACCTTGAGCGAAAGCCCAAAAAGAACCGATGACAGTTCATTTGTCAAAACACTGATAACTTGAACATAACCTGATAAACAAGCTACTACATATGCACGTGGAGAGTTTGTTGCCAATTAGTATCGTTTATTGGTCAAAACACTGTCAACCAAAACCGAACTCAATAAATAAGACATTTTTTTTAAAATGGTTAAAATAATTCTTTTATATTCAAATTACTACGTGAAACGTATTTTTAATAATTTAAAATCAATTTAACATACACTTAACTTAATTAATATTCTAAATATAATTTAAATTAATAGTCCTTTTAAACTTAATTTGAGTAGTTTAATAAACTTAATCCAGTATAATTAAACTTTATTTTATAATCTTTAAATAATCTAAATAACGGGTAAACGTTAAATTAATTATAATTTATTAGATATAAAATTAAAAATTTAATAATATATCACATACAATAGATTAAATAATATATCAGAATTTATTAGAAAATTTTAAAATATAAATTCCATTTTCATAACCGTTTTCTTTTTGAAAATTATATAATTTTTTCTCTCTAATTTATTTACTATCGTATTCACTCTCCATAAACAAACAATTGATTTTTTTTTTTTTAATCAAATTCTAAAATATTTTATACTTTTTTAACTTTAAAATGATTATTTAAATTTGGTAACTTAATTTATAATTTTATCAATATTTAAATAAATTAAGTAAAGTATAGAAATTAAAATTAAAAAAAGCCTTTCAGTTTTATTATTATTATTATTATTTATTTATTTATTTTTAAAGAAAACATCACATGTGTGTATTTGACTGCCAATGTACAAAAAAGTTGAAGATGAAGCTTTATTTTTTAAGGAGGAGTCGTTCCTATAAATAGATTATGTTGAGCGGGCAAAACAATTTCAACTACGTAGAATGTTCGCTGCGCATTGCTAATTCCTGCATTTTCCACAGTAAGATTTCATCTTCCATTTCCTCTTTTCAAATTCTTGTAATCTTTGAACAGAACAAGGATTCAACACTTTTCTTCATTGCCATGGATGCAGAAGTGTGGTCGGCAATCGCAAGGATCCGTACTGTCTTATATTCTTAGTCTCCATCTACGATCTCTATCTCCGTTTATTGTTGCTTGTTTTATGTAGATGCTAAAGGTACGGTTCCTTCAGAGGAAGAGACGAAAGCATGATTGAGGTAATCTCCTCGTGTCTTCTTCATCAGAATAGTTATTTTGGCCTTGCAAATCTCCAGTGTTCGAGCGTTTGTTTTGAAATGTGATTGTGATTATGATTGCGATGAGTTTGATTTTTGTCGCTTTTGTTTCGGTTGGAATGATTTTGATATGATTTATCTCTTTCTCTATGCTTTGGTTGTTTCCGGAGGCGTTCCGATTGGGAAAATAAGTTTTTCGGAGGATTTAGTCTTCGAAACATTTCATTAACAGAAGTTCAGGATACTTATGATTACTGTACGTTCCATTTTAATCAGAGGAGTACTGTGTGTTCCATGTATTATCGTTTTCTCGTGTAATTTCTTCAGCTGTCGTATTAAATTTGCAGCGAGACATCTGTATACATTTATTTCTTTTTCATCGAGCGTTTCGCTCTTGCACATTTGTGATTTGATTTGCTGTTCGTTGTTTTTTCTTTATAAATAAATATGTTGAAATTTTCATATCAAATGAGGATGAGTTGAAGATGTTTGAGTTTTTGCCAAAGATCAGTGATCTAAGAAACATGCCAAGCGAGCTATGGTTTGCACTATCGATGATTTACAAGGATGGAAAGACTTTCCCAAGGGTCTTAGGGTTCTTCTCCTTGACCGCGACAGTAGCTCCGCTTCCGAGATAAGATCAAAACTTGAGGAAATGGAGTATGTTGGTGAGATAGTTCAAACGCCTCATTTTGGTCTTTTTGTTAGAAATTCTCTTTCTGTCACAGCACTGTTTATTTCTATCTTCTTCAACATTCAAATATATTTGCTTTACTCGCGTCCTAAAGAGAGCATTTTAAGCTACTTGATTAATTGATGAGATCTGCATTCTCTTTTCTATAATCCATCTTTGGAGGATAATTACATGTATGTATTTCCATAAAATTTATCCCACTTTAATTTTTCCTTTTTTTATGATTGTAGGCCTGAACTTTTATACATGTTTCAAGGTCCCTAAACTTTTGAAATCTTGATTTTGGTCCTAAAAACTTTTTTAAACCACTCATATATATATATATAAAATGTGTGAGATTACATCAGTTCTTCAATACATTAGATAACATATTTATGGTAGGTACTATTTGTGGAATGTAATTAAGGTTGAGGACTAAAATTGAGATTCTATAAAGAAAAAAAAAGGTCCAAATAAAATGGCAGTAAAAGTTAAAGGGCAAAAATTTGGAGACCAAAATTGAGCACTAATGAACATATTGAAAATGCACTTATTTCTACTTTCTATGACGACTTTAGAGTGTCATCATTTCTTCCATAAAATGTGTATTTCCAACTATTAATGTGTTGAAGATCTGTATTCTCACTATTGTGATCCCATTTTCATGTTCTCTATTCCTTAAAGAAGTTACCCTTTTAGTTTCTTCTATACTTCTATGTTGACAATTTTCACTTGTCATATTGCAGTTTATTCCTGCACTGATGAGAAGGAAGCTTTCTCAGCAATTTTGAATACACCGGGAAACTTCCATGTTGCAATTCTGGAGGTATGACTAATGACTTCCGGAATGGAATTATACATTTAGGCCATAAGTTGAGTCCTCTGGTATGCTTACTTGATAAATCTAGTTCTCGTGATGATTGGACCATTTTCAATAGCAATATTATTGGTTTTGTTTGTCTTTTTAAACTCTTGGATCCATCTCTGGTTGCAGGTGTGTGCAAGAAATTATGATGAGAGTTTTAAGTTGCTTGGAACTTCCATGGACTTGCCAATCATAAGTAAGTTAACAACTCGACCAAAACTAGTTAAGGTATATATCTTCGACCAAGACGTTAGAGGCTTGAATCCTCCCTCACATGTTGAACTATTAGAAAAAGAACACAAAGATCTAGAACTGTTTTCTTTTCAGAATAAAAAAAAGATGGGTTTGACAGCTTCTTTCAAAAAATTTTACGGTTCCTGACCTGACAATGAGATTGTGTTGTTCTGTGGCACAGTGACTTCGGACGTTCATTGCCTAAGTACCATGATGAAGTGCATTGCAGTAAGGGTTCTAGTCTAATCTCTTACTAAATGGTCTCTTTGTCTTTGGTAATTCTAAAACTAGACTTTCGATCAGCAGCACTTTTAAGGGTTCCTTAGGGACCGGTTTACTCTGTTTAGATTAACAACAGCGGAAAGTCTTCAAGTTTTCTTGTTGGTCTGAGAAACCACTTTCGAAACATAGCTAGTTTCTATAATTTTCATTCGATTTCCACCAGACATTGATGCTCAGATCATAACTGTAGTTTTGCATTATTAGCTATGCATTTAGATTTACAATTTACGTTCAGCTTGGTGCAGTTGAGTTCCTGTTGAAACCACTCTCGGAGGACAAACTCAGGAATATCTGGCAGCATGTCCTTCATAAGGTATTTTTCAGTTCTGGAAAAAAAAAAAAAATTGCAAAAAAAAAAAAAAAAGTATATTGACCAACGATATTTTGAGAAGGCATTTTCCAATACTCCAAAGCCTGATGAACACTCAGTAGCATCCTTGATGCAACTCCAATTAGAGAATAAAGACAAGAATGAAGCTCAGGAAGATATGGAAATGCTTTCTTGGATTCAGGATGTTGTATGGGAACCACCGGAAGGAAGTGAGAAGTCTCAACTGAACCTGGGAGAATCTTGGCAAGGTAGCTGGGAAAGCGAACATCAAATGAACTGTTCAATGGAAACTGATAGCAGGGAAAAAGAGGTGTACCCTAAATTCGTCAAAACAGCTACACATGATTTGGTTTGTGAAGGTCCCTTTCAGGAGGGTCAACCTCGATTATCTGGCAAGGTAATGGTCAAAGAATACAAGAACTTTCTAGTTGGTTTAGGCTGAGAGTAAAGTTTATCATCCCTTGCAGAATAAATCTGATGTCAAAAGTAGTGCTTCAGCTGCTGAGCATTCAAACCAAGGCTCTGATGTGAACCATTCTGCTGGATCCAAAGCGAAGAAATCAAAGGTATATTGTCGGACTCAAAGAGCACAAAATTTTGGGCATCTATATTATAAAATACATTCAAAACTTCGGTTTTCAACGTGTAATTTCATTGCGTGAAGGATGGGACTTTTGTGTGAAAGTGTAACAACTCAAGCCCACTGCTTGCAGATATTGTTTTCTTTGAGTTTTACCTTTTGGACTTCCCCTCAAGATTTTTAAAATAGGTTTGATAGGAAAAGGTTTCCACACCCTTATAAAGAATGGTTCGTTCTCCTCTCCAATCGATGTGGGATCTTACAATCCACCCCCTTTTGGGGCTCAGTGTCCTCGCTGACACTCGTTCCTCTCTCCAATTGATGTTGGGGATCTCACAATCCACCTCCTTCGATTAAATGGTTGAGATATATTTCTCAAAGATCTCTATCAGTTTTTGACAAATTAATGGTTAAAGAGATCGATTGCTCGTGTATAAACTAGCCCAGTCCCTCACGAATGTTAAGAGAAATAAGCTTGAACTGTGACTTCTTATTTATGAGATTCTGAATCATACTGTTGGCTATTATTGTCCGTTAGGTGGACTGGACCCCAGAGCTACATAAAAAATTCGTTCAGGCAGTGGAACAGTTAGGCATAGATCATGCAATTCCTTCCAAAATACTTGAGCTCATGAAAGTTGAAGGTTTGACAAGGCACAATGTTGCAAGTCATCTCCAGGTGCCCATCTGACTTCAGAACTTTTCTGTTATTAAGTATAAAAGTAAGTTACAATTATCCTCTCATATTTATTTATTTATTTATTTTATTTTAGCCTATACTTTGTTTATGTAGAAGTACAGAATGCAAAAGAAACATATAATGCACAGAGAAGAAAATCCATGGTGGTCACATCCAAGATGTACAATACAAACCAATCACTTGAAGCCTATCATGGCTTACCCTTCTTATCATCCTAACTGTGGAATATCACCGTCTGCTGCTTTTCCAACATGGAGACAGACCAATGGCCATCCAGCTAATGCCCTCGTGCGGGGTCCGCCCGGGTTTTTCCATTGGCCACAACCAGGAATTCAGCCCTGGAATTCCTATGCAGCAGGGGTAACGTTTACTGTTCTTGGAGTTCACTGTATAATAATGAGACTGTCACCACAAAAAAACCCAAATTTGAAACCTCGTACTTCACTGATTGATTTAGGTACAAGCTGATGCATGGGGTTGCCCTGTGACGCTGCCTTCTCATGCTCCATATTTTGCACATCCTCAGGTGAGAGTTGATTTGATTTGATTTGATTTTTTTGTTCTTTTTGGTTTGGTTTTCTTTTACCGTGAGTTAAAACTGAGAATTTAACCTCCTTATTTGGAGTGTGGAGTAAGTAATTGTGGGCGTTTTATTTTGGCCATTTTGCAGCATGTATTATCAGCTTCACACAATATGCATACAGTAAATAAGAGCTACGGCATGCCTCAGAGTTCATTTGATCTTCAACCGGTAATAATAACCTCCTTTTCTTTTACATTATCAAGGGGGCATTTTTTTTTTTTTATGGGTTTCGATGTGGGGTGAATTTAAGCCTTTGTTTGGATAGAGATATTTAATGTTTTGGATGGAAATTTTTTTCCCTAAATGGTTAGTAACCACGACCTTCTTGAATGGTATGACATTGTCCACTTTGATTATAAGGTTTTATGGTTTTACTTTTAGTTTCCCCAAAAAGTCTCGTACCAATGGAGATAGTATTCTATACATATAAACTCATGATCTTTCTCCTAATTAGCCAATGTGAAATCTGAAATGGCTCAAGCCCACCGCTAGCTCTTTGGGCTTTCCCTTCCAAGGCTTCCCCTCAAGGCTTTCCCTAAAACACGTCTAGTAGGTAGAGGTGTAAACCCTTATAAGGAATACTTCGTTCTCATCTCCAAACGATGTGAGATCTCACAATCCACCTCCCTTATGGGTCCAACGTCCTCACTAGCACACCATCTATTGTCTAGCTCTAATACCATTTGTAACAGCCCGAGCTCACAACTATCTCTTTGGGCTGGGCTTTCCCATCAAGGGCTTCCTCTCAAAGTTTTAAAACTCCTCTAGTAGGTAAAGGTGTAGACCCTTATAAAAAAATATTTCGTTTCTCTCTCTTGCCTATGTGGGATCTCACAATCCACTTCCTTGAGGCCTAGCATCCTTGCTAGCACACCACCCATTGTTTGGCTCTGTTATCATTTGTAACGGTTCAAGCTCACCTCTAGTAGATATTGTCCACTCTTAGGGGAAATCCACTCTTTGGGTTTCCCCTAACGCATTTACTAGCCGTTTTTTTTTTTTTTTTTAATTTATGATTCTCTGATTTTTTTTAAACTTCGATTATTTATGCTTTTTATTATTTCCCTTGTGTAATAATTTTTTTGTTTCCTTTTCTTTAATTATTTGTGTTTTGTTTTTATATAATTTATTTTTATCTATGAATCACTTTCAAATGGAGAGAGAAATGATAATAAATGGAAATAAATGCATTTTATGTTAATAATTCTTCAAATAGATTATTATATTGATTATTTATGTGTAGAAGTTTATATAGTTTTATTAAATTTATTTATTGCAACATAATTATTAAGATTGGTGGTTGAATAAACTCAAAAACTTAAAAGTGATTCATAGATACAAATTGAATTACCTTTAAAGGTTTTTTATATATATAATAAAAAAAGAAAAAAAAATAGTTATAGAGAGAATTAAAATAACTAATATTAGTTTATTATTAAATTTGGTAGGATGAGGAGGTGGTTGACAAGGTTGTAAGAGAGGCAATGAGGATGCCGTGCTCACCGCTTCCATTAGGGCTTAAGCCTGCCACAGAGAGAGTTCTCACAGAGCTTTCTATGCAAGGGATCTCCATCGTCCCTCCTCAAATCAACGGCTCCAGGCCTCCCTGATCCCATTTCTATATAATATCTCTGTCCTAATTGATTTTAGCCAAGTTTGTTAAATCACATTACTTATTTTGGTAGGGAATAATAAAATTTACTATTATCTATATCTTCCATTCACATCAAACCCTTAATTAACATAGTTGTAGGGATCATTTACGTAGTTATTCAAGTATGATTTATGACATTTAGCTATTCCTTTCGAGGCTCAGGGGAGGTGCGAGTTTGTTTAGTGGGTTCATGTTTGCATGCGTGGTTTGTGTGCGAGTTCGAAATCTTGGCCAGATGGAAAGTTGCATAAGAAAATCCACATTCGCACATGTGGGTTATGTTTGAAGAAGTATTAGACATCCAACTTTCTCCGAACTAGAAAGTCGCCTAAGGAAATAATATTCCATGTGGCATGTTTTTGCATTTCCTAACTCCAATAGTGGGGTCACTTGCCGAACATTTCAGGTAAAGACAAACGGTATTGACGTGTTGAATACCATAGAACTTAAGGGCCATAGAATTTAAGGGCAGACACATTTCATCTTTCTTAGTCTTAGATTAGAATATGTGTCTTAAAAGTTTTACCTCAAACGATTTAAGTCTATAGCATCTTTTATCAAATTATTTTAGATAATAACTTTATTTTAGAATAAAAATAGAGTGGTTACTAATATTTTAATATAGCTTAAATACCAATAATTTTTAAATTTGTAATGTCACTCTATTTATTCCATAATATATCCAACATTTTCTAACATTCACACAGAAATTAAATATATTTTAAAGTTTATGATTCTATTTAATAAAAAAAAAAAAAATTATATGTATCACTGTCAAAAATTTATGTTAGGAATTATTAAAATAAAATTAAAAATTGAAAGATTAAAAAGCCTATTAAATATAAATACATAAACATATAACATTTTTTCCCCTAATATAAATACTTTATTTATTTATTTATTTTTGAAGCTTTAAATGAGTTTTGAACTTAATTATAAAAAGCCGTTTAGTGGTTTTTTTAAAATGAAAATCATGGCTCCCTTAAATTCCCAGTTTAATAAGCAATTTAATTTAGCAGTTTACGTTAATTCTTAAATTAATAATTATTGTTTTTATATTACAGAATTATCCCTTCTTCTTTTATTTAATCAGAACTATTAAATCCTTAATTTTCTTGTTTGTTGGCACTGACATCTGTAGGTTCTGTTTGGAAGAGAATCTAAAAAATCAAGATTATTTAGGGAAAATTATAGTTTTATTTTAAAAATAGAAAAAAAAAAAGTCACCAATAACAATTTTTTATTTTAATTAAAAGGTTAAATTACTTTAAATTTTATTTAAAATATTTGTTATTTAGTTAAACTTTTAATTTTTGAATTTAAATTTATTAATTTTGTGTTTGATAAAGATATGAATTAAAAAAAATTAATTTTGTGTTTTATAGTTCATTCAAATTTATATTTATTTTTATTAAAAAAAAACATGTGATTTTTAAAATATTTAGACCTATTATAAAAATAAAAATTTGTAATCCTTATCCCAACATTATTAAATTAAAAGAAAAGTCAAAATAATCATTTTCTAAAAATAAATTTGGATTTTCAAACTAAAAAAAGTATGGTCTGTCTTGTAAATAAATATTAATGAGGGGGCAAATGACAATTATTCTTGTTTGAAGTGCCGTCATCCGAAATTGACAATACTGTCCCCGTAATATCCGGCCATCCAAGCGTAAAGGTAGGGACAGAAATGTCTTCCAATTAAAAGAGCCACTAGGGTGCGATCTCAATTGCCAACTGGCCTTTGGAGAACCGGACCGTCTTTCTCTAATTCCATTTTCTCTCTCTCTCTCTTCTGATTTCGAGGTCCGAGAAAGCGAGTAATCTGATAATCATCGTCTCTGAATTTGTAAGTTCTCCGATTTCTTCCTTGATCGTGTTAAGTTTTCATCTAGATTACGTCCGCTATTGCGGAGTTTTGTATGATTTCATTCTAAAGCCGAGAATATGGATATTGAGACAAATTGTGATGGTTTTGGTAATAATTCCGCTTTGATGGACGACGTAGGAAGGGAAGTATTCCGTTTGGTTGCTGAGATGCTGTGATGCAACTTGAAGGTTATGAGGATTTTATTAGTTCAGGTGTTGTTTTGGAAATTGGAAGCCGTCGTAGCTAAATTCTAGATTGGGATCCGTGTTTATTTGATATGAATCACATTTAATGCACGAATGTTCTAGCGAAGTTGTAATTTGTCTTACTTCCTTCAAGTTTGGGATATTTTAGTGGTAGAAATGACTAGCTGTATGTATGATGAACTTGTTTGTTTTTTTAATGAATACTAATTAGCGCTCTAATGCATGTACGATGCACATTTCAAATGTTGTTTTTAGCCCTCGAAAGCATATAGAGGATGGCCTGCAGAGGGTGCTTTGAGTGCCTGTTGAAGCTTCTGAACTTCTTTTTATCCCTTCTGGGTCTTGCCATGGTGGGGTATGGGATTTACTTGTTGGTTGACTACTTGCAATCTCCTAGTGATATCCCAAGACCTCCGTTGAGTGGTGATCACGATCTGGTCCAGCTTGGTCGACCAATGCTAATGGCCGTGTCTCTGTCTTCTAACATCTTTGATCACCTTCCAAAAGCCTGGTATGACTTTTCCTTTTAAATATAATATGTTTGTTTCTTACTGCATGTAATGGCTGACTTTAGGCAGAACAAATATTCTGAAAAATAAAGGACATTGAGCTTCATAAGTAACTCATTGATTTGGTGGTCATATATCCTACCCCTGGGTCAGAAGTTCGATCCCCATTGTGCCCTTCCCCCCAATTCCTGTTGTAAGAATAAGATAACCTCTCAATTTTTTAGAAAAAAAAGAAAAGAAAAGAAAAAGAAGGAATGAGAGGTACATGATTAACGTCATGATGTGATGAAGTTTATGAAGCAGCTGAATTATGGATTCACTGATTGAAGATAAAAAAATTTATGAATTTCCTAAACATTCTACAATAGTGCTTTATCACCCAGTGTTCTAGAAGTCTCATTTAGTTTTAAGGTTCTGTTTGTTTGTTTGGAAACAGTTTAGTTTGCTGTCACAATGGATAGGTTCTACTTTTTCAAGAATATCCCGGATGCTCACAAATATTTTAAAAAATTAAAAAAAAAGCATACAAAAGGTTGTCTATTTTATCTTTTAACAGCAGAAACGCTTGAAGTGCATCAGTGAATCACAATCGATATTGATCTATATTGCTGAATGGAAATGTTATCACTTTTCAACTTTTATTCTTATTGCATAATTTCATGGAAACTCGAGCCAGTTTATTGAGTCTCATCAAGTACAGGAATTGGTGTACATATTGATTTTCTGTACAATGCATAAGTTACTGCCGAGAATATAAGATATTTCATACTGAAATAATGATATGCCATTTCAAAAGTACTGGATGTGACATTCTTGTCTCTTCTTCTTCATTATTTTTTTAAATTTTTTAATCTGAAAGGATTCTACTCCGGAATCTTCACATGTAAGCAAATTCATGTCATCGGTTAGTACATTTTAGCAGCTTAGAATAGTATGGATATTTGTGGCATCTGCTTAATCTGTTTCTTCTATTTTAATTCTTTTGCAGGTTCATATACTTGTTCATTGCTGTGGGAGTCATTATCTTTGTTGTTTCTTGTTTTGGGTGCATTGGAGCTGCAACACGTAATGGATGCTGTTTAAGTTGTGTATCCTATTTGCCTGCATTGCTTCATTGTTATTTGATTTATGAATTAGTAATGAAACAATTAGGCCACCAGGGAACAACTTGTTGGCTTCAGGATAACTACACTGTTCATAGAGATAAGATGGTGATCTTAAATATAATACAACATAGTCATGATAACACATACGGTTTAATCTAAAAAATTTGACAGTGATTTTCCTATGATTTTTATGTTACTGTATCCTTAATGATCACAGTATTCAGTTTTGGTGCTTCTACTGATTTTGGTGCAAGTAGGATGTGCAGCCTTCATATTCTTTGACAAACATTGGAGAGATGTGAGTGGTTCACCTCACAAACTAAAATTGAAATTTTAGTTCATTTTCTTATTATTATTACTGTTATTCCATAGGAAATTCCTGGGGACAAAACAGGAAACTTTGATAAGATCTATGAACTTCTCGAAGACAAGTGGGAAATCATCAAATGGGTTGCACTAGGAGCTGTAATTTTTGAGGTACGTGAACCCCTTTTTTGAAGCTTTTGAATCTTAGACTGGCATGGCGGAGGCCTAATGCTGCTCTAACCTCTGAATGTCTTGCTTAGCAGAAATGTTACATGCACTGTAATTACTAAATTACTGGGATCTTCGTTATTTCTAATTCATGTGAATATATAACTTAATTTCGCATAAATATTGAATATTGTTGTAATTGTTTTATTATAGAACATAATAATTATATAATGATTAACAGAATATATCGCTAGAATTTTATTATTTAATTATCAAATGGATTTGTATCAATAATTGATGTGTTAATCCCAATTTGGTCCATTTTTGTTTTTGAATTCAAATGACATTTGAAATTCTTTTTCTTTTCTGATTTTTTGTTAATCTTATTTTAGTCTTTTTAGTTATCCACTCTACTGATTGAATTGTATCTTTTTAGTTATCTACTCTTTACTGATTGAATTGTATATCATTCTTTACTATGTTTGTATGCATTAAACATTGCACTTCTCAAGAAACAGATTGACCTGTTTCTTGCTGCTGAAACTCTGTCATCAAGAATATGTACTTTTACGCCCCTCATCAAATTTTAGAGTTTTTTTTTTTTTCTTCTTCTTCTTCTTTTTGCATCTCTCTTGAATTCTGGTTTAGTGCATTTTTTCCGCATGAGTTTAACATATGCGGTTGGTAGGTTCTTTAATTCCAATTTGTGATTTGCAATATAAATTCATTTTACTTTCACATCAATAATTAAAAAATTGGTTTTTTTGATCGCAAAAGACTTCATATGTAATACTTCAATGTTGCCCTAACATGATTTGCTTTACTTCTGTTTTTCCCTTTATTGATTTAACAACTTTGTGCTTTTGCCTAAGCCACTTATCTATAAACTCCCTTTTACCAATTTGGCCATGGATTTATTTGCTTTACACTGATTGTAACTTCTTTTTTCTCTCATTGAAATCATGATTTCCACCTTGTAATATTGTGTTTCATTGTATTTGCAGGCTCTCCTTTTCTTGTTGGCTCTTGTGGTTCGTGCAGCAAACAGTCCTGCAGACTATGACAGTGATGATGAGTACATTGCTCCAAGGCTACAAATCCGACAACCTTTGATCAATAGGCCTGTTGCTCCTGCAACAGGTGTACCTGTTGCTGGGGCACTTGATCAACGACCAAGCCGAAATGATGCTTGGAGTACACGAATGAGGGAAAAGGTATAACCACTTCTAGGTTGAATTTTGCCGCTGAAAATAATTAGAATGTAGAGAGACATGACAAAAACGAAAGGTCCTCCTTTCCTTTTATTCCTTTCCTTTTATTCTTTCATTTACTATAATAAAACGATGCTGATATAAACCCAAGAGCTAAAACATATTGAAAGGTAAAATATAGAGGAACTACAATAACTAAGTAATTCGAGGTGTTTGGATACCTTATGCTCCTCCCACTTTCTATTATGTTCAACTCCTACTAACAAGCTCCTTATCTACTTACTAATATGCCTTCAATACCCTAATAATATTTCTAACCAGCCAAATAGCATTCCTATTGGATACTAGGACTTCAGATGACACTTCATTATGTTCTGTATTTATGTTGGGAGATTCCATTTTGAAGTTGTATAAATAGCTTATATGATTGAGTATCCATTGTTAAATAGTCTTTTGGTTCCTCTCAGATACTCATGCGGATCAATCCTTGACAATTTTATTTTAAGTTCCCAACAAAATTTGGATGTCATTATTGGTTGACATTGAGCTGAAGACAACAGAGCTCAACTAATCAGATCGATAATTCTCAATCTCAAGAATTGAATTTTGATCGTTTGGAATCTGTTTCAGTAGTTAGCGTTGGACCCTTTATTGTTCAGACTTGGTGTTTTTTTTATGCTCTTATCTATTCTTTCTTGTCTCTCCATAAAAGTGCGGTTTCTTAAAATCTTGATTTCCAGACGTTATGCATCCTATTTGAACATTTGTAAAGCTTCCTGCCTGGGATAGTATTTTCCGTCTCTGCACGTTTGTTTCTTCCTGGCTACTACAATCAGACGTTATGCATCCTATTTGAACATTTGTAAAGCTTCCTGCCTGGGATAGTATTTTCCGTCTCTGCACGTTTGTTTCTTCCTGGCTACTACAATCAGATCTCGGACTTGAGGACCCAAATTCTTATTTTTACTTCTATAAATTATTATGATTGAATGGTGTCTGATCAACTGCCCACCGTTCTACGTATCGTATATATGTTTGGAACTCTTAATTGGAGATTTGTGTGGTAGCGTTTCCCCCTGACCATGAACTACTTCATATATGATCTGATGAGCAGTTTCTTTTCACAATGTGCTTCTGATGTAATGTTTATAACCTCTTTTGCATAAATTGCAATTCTGACGTTGGTTCTTTTTCTGTTTGAAACAGTATGGGCTGGATACTTCCGAGTTCACATACAACCCATCTGAGTCTCACAGGTTTCAGCAAGTTGCCCAACAGCCAGCAGAAGAAAAGAGCCGCTGCACCATCATGTGATCAGTATGTCTTGTATTATTTGTTTCTTACTCTACTTTAGCGTTTTAGCGGGTCGAATGCTTGTTCCACTTGTGTATAACCAAGAGGTTGTTCCGGAGGCTGTACTTGTATAACCTAAACTTTTCAGAATAAGAAATTTGTAACTATTTGTTGTGTGAAACCGTTCCTCTATATTTGGATTTCCTTTTTGTTCTAGACGGATGGGTCAGCACAGGACCAAGGAAAATGATTGTAAGCTCCATCTCACTTGGGAAAAGACTACTTGCTGGAAGTTGCTTTTAATTGTGAGTTCAATCCAAGTAAATATGCAATGTATATTCTGTGTCATGCTCGGTCTCTGCCCTCCTCAAGTCCTCTCGACTTCATGAAACATCCTTATATTTATTAATATCTGCTAGCATTTTCATTATCTTTTAGCCCTGTTTTTGGAGCTTTGTTTCTGGTTTATTCTGTGTACAAAGAATGAAGAAAGAATGAATGAAGACTTCATGTGAAATCCCACGTCAGTTGGAGAGGGGAACAAAGCATTCCTTATAAGGGTGTGGAAACTTCTCCCTAGCAGACGCATTTTAAAAATCGTGAGACTAATGACAATACGCAACTGGCCAAAGCGGACAATATCTGCTAGCAATGAGCTTGGGCTGGTAACTTTCAACCAATTTTTTTTTTAGCTATTTACAAGACGGCCGTTTAAAGGCGTTTCAGCTAGGGTTTTGGGATATGAGTTTGATTGATTGTTATTATGAATTTGCTTATCTCATACTTTTGACACTTGCGTTTGTTTGATATATGTATATATATATTTTTAAACCATTGGCTTTGACTACTCAGCATTAGTTAGTCAATGCAGTTGCTTGAAAACAATTCCCCCTTTTTCTTTCTTGTTTACAAAAAACATTAAAGCAATGGCTTGATCAAGACCAGCTTACATTCTTCTTATGGCAAGATGGGATTGCTTGAAAAGAATGATGTATAAAAGCCTCCAAAAGAGGTTGAGTTGGGTAGAGTTGGTTGCATCAACTTTGATCAAAAACTTCAAAAACTTCAAATGGGAATATCTTGAGGTAAAAAGTGGATTCCATTTGCTATAAAGAAAACTGGTAGGGAGTGTTCCTTTGCCTTTCATTCTCTGTCTATACATTCGATATGGATATTCTTAAGATATTGGTGTTTGTAATATTTGGTGTGTTTTTGTTTGGAATTGAAAGCTTAGGCGATGATGGACTTTTGGTTTTTGACTACTACAAAGAAACATGCCCCTTTGTTGAAGATATTATCCGACGACAAGTTGAGATTGCCGTGCTCAAAGATCCTCGAATGGCTGCTTCACTCCTTCGCTTGCATTTCCATGATTGTTTTGTTATGGTACGTCTATTTCTCACTTGCCTTTTGAAAATCTGTAGTCCCTCGACATGACATTATAATCTAAAATCTTCATTGATATAATAGGGATGTGATGCATCAATTCTTCTAGATAGTAATGACGAGATGGTGAGCGAAAAACTAGCGGCTCCAAATTTGAACTCCCTTCGTGGTTTCGATGTTATCGATGAGATAAAATACATATTGGAAGATGCTTGTCCTTACACTGTGTCTTGTGCTGATATCTTAACCATTGCTGCTCGTGATGCTGTTGAGCTCGTATTAATCTCTCTTTCCTGTTAATTTTTTATTTTATTTTCTTTCAATACATGTCATTTTTTCCCGTGACGTTAATATCTTTTTAGTGTTAACTTAATTCGATACGTAAGAGTATGAAACTAAGTTGAATTATTGTATTGTTGTTTGAGAAGAGAGGAGGACCTGGATGGCAAGTGCTGTTGGGGAGGAAGGACTCTCTGAAAGCGAGCTTTGATGGAGCCAACAAATACATTCCTTCTCCCAATTCCTCTCTTGAGACCCTAATTGCCAATTTTCATGAACAGGGCCTTGATGTTTATGACTTAGTTACCCTATCAGGTCAGTTACATATCGTTTCATGATCGTTATTATTAACGTTTAAATACTATATTGGCGTGTGTATTTTTGATTTTTGTTCATTTTGGTCATTGTACCGTTAAAGGGTTCAATTTAGCTCACGTCTTTTTAAATTTAGTACAATTTGATTTCTCTACTATTACGTGTTCATTTTGGTTCTTGTACTTTTTAAATGGGATCGTTTTAATCTTTATTTGAAATGTTTTAATATAAACTTTTGAAAAAAAAAAAACAAAGAAAAATAAAAATTAAGGGACCAAAATGAACCAAAATAGAATTTCCTTCGTGCACACTCATAAATAACTTGTTATGTTGTACTTCTGTTATATTATAATACGTACGTAATAGAAATATTTAGCTAAATTACAAAAATACCCTTGTTTCAAACGTTTTTTAAAGTTATGCACTTCTATTACATTATACTATGTACGTGATAGAAATATTTTGCTAAATTACAAAAATACCCTTAACCTTTATGTTTTGTTTCAAACGTTTTAAAAAGTTATACCCTTCTACTTTTCTTAAACATTTCAAAATTATATTAATATAGAAATTTGTTAGAATGTCTGCAATCGTATGACAATTTTAATTTTTGCATTAGGTCACCACCACATCCTTCTAGAAACCCATTCTTGACCAACATTCAAATCGAGTTTTATTAGTCATGAAAACTTTACAAAGGATCGTAAATAATATTAGACTTTCGAAACAAAATGTAAAAGTCTTCTTTATTTACCCTAAAGTGTCTTTTCGATACACTAATACCTACAATGGTGATTATGAAAAGGAAGCCACACCATAGGGAAAGCAAGATGCTTGAGCTTCAGGCAAAGAGCATACCAAACGAACCCAGAAGAAGAATACGACAGATACGAGAGATACAACACTTACAGGAGAATCCTAAGGTCCATATGCCCTGAAACAGGGCAAGACCAGAGGGTAGCGCCCTTAGATTTTAGGACACCGGCAAGATTTGACAACCACTATTTCCTCAACATTCTTGAAGGAAAAGCCCTTTTGGGGTCCGACAATGTGCTCATAACCCAAGACCATGACGGTGAGATCACAAGACAAGTTTGGAGCTATGCCTCTGACCAAACCCTTTTCTTTGCTTCCTTTGTTAAGTCCATTGTCAAGATGGGGAACATCAACGTCCTCACTGCCAATCTCGGTGAGGTCCGAACCAATTGTAGGTTTACTAATCACTAGCTTTTCTTTATATTTTTCTCCGATCGAGTGCTCGTTTAATATGGAGTTTTATAGTAAGAGGTTTCGTGTTGTTATATTTTTTTAGATCGAGCAACGATTTAACATGATATCAAAGCTTAAACTTTTATGTTATAGTGCATAAATACTTTAACAATACGTCAATATGATATGTTCATTTTCAATGCACGTATGTTGTGATATTTCTTTCGAAATTTATAGTAGGTTTACCAATCACTAGTTCTTTATTTTTTATATATATATTTTTCTCTGATCGAGTGATCATTTAAAATGGAATCATAGTCAGAGTTCTCGTGTTTCGAACCTTGTTATGTTTTTTAGATCGAGTAGTGATTTAACATGATATCGAAGCTTAAACTTTTAGGTTAGTATATCAATACGTCAATCTGGTTCGTTCATCTTCAATGTATGTAGTGATATTTCTTTTGAAATTTTATAGTAGGTCAACTTAAACTTTTGAATCGAATGTTGATTCAAATATGGTATAATAGCAAGAGATCTCGCGTTCTGAACCTAATATGTTTTTTTAGATCGAGTAGTGATTTAACATGATATCTTAAACTTTTAGGTACAGTAATTCATCTTTAATGTATGTTTTGATTTTTCTTTCAAAGTTTATGGTAGGCAATATGTGTACCATGACAATCGCAAATTACACTGGATACTAATCTAAAATGTTCGGTACGCATACCTTTGATTTATTTTTTATTTATATTCATGGGGCCGAGATGAGTCAGACAATCATTTCTCATTCTTGTCATGCTTACTATTTCAATTTTCATCATCATAAAACTCCCCTTATATACCTTCGTTTAAATAATTTTTAATAGATAATTTTTATGTAAAAGTTCCTAATAAATTTAATAACGAGGCACGAAGAATGAGTACGAGGAATGTATTTGTTGTCTCTAATCCCATTTAGCCAACGGAAAAAAAAATCTCTCTATAGTATTATCCGGGGACGGAAACTCAGGGGTATAATAGACATTAGACATTTTTAGTTGTGACACGTGGCTAAAGTATTTGGAAAATAATAATAGTAATAATATGTGTTTTTTAATTATGAAATTTTGGGCCGAACAAAATTGGGCTCAAGGGTTAGTTCGGGCCCACGCGATGATTTTTTCACGGGCCGAGCGATCCAAGAAATAGTAAGTCTGCTTCTGAGAAAAGAAGCTTCAGGCGAGAGAGACGACCGACAATGGCGACCGCTTCCGCTTCCGCTTCAGGTCGAAGCAACAGAGACGGTACGGCCAAAGCCATGGTGGCCGACCACATTTCTCAGTCAGTGCGATCCACTTCAAATCTCCTTCATCTGATGCAGCAATCTTCTTCGGCTCAGGCATGTTCTCTCTCTCTCTCTCTCTCTCTCTCTCTCTCTCGTTTGTGTTTTCTGAAGCTTTACGAGTTCATTTGAACGGCACTCTTAGGAGTAGGATCGGTAGAGCTGATGCGTGAATTTTTTCGATATATGTTTGTTTAGATTTCAGTTTCGTTCTATCTTGCGAGTTCTTAAGGAATATTGATTACGATCTTGAATCATATTAATAGATGATTGAACTGCCAAACCTTAATTGTTCGTTTTAATAGATGATTGAACTGCCAAACCTTTATTGTTCGTTTTGTAGCTTTTCCACTTTCTGGCTTCAGTTAATTGGGAAATCACGTTATGTTTCGAAGAAATTTTGTAATATTGTACAGAAACTTGACGGTGCAAGTGTTGTTTGCATCGAGGGCATAATTTCAGAAATCCCTACCATGTACATTGAATTGGAATTTACCACCGATTTTTCTCTTCACATTTTGTCTACGTGAGATAAATTCAACTGTCGGAAGCTTTAATCATATTGCTGACATGCAATTTTGTTTTTAGTTTCTTACGTATTGCGTTGTTTTCAGTTCAGTTTGTCATATAGTTCATCTTGCCTGCAGGCTCAGTTAGCAAAATTGCCAAAGAACCTTTTGGCAAAAGCATCTACTATAAAAAATACTGAGAAAGTACGTTCAATCAATTAATGAACTGAACATGTTTTTATTTCGTTAATTTATTTTTAATTGAACTCCTTAGCAAAAACTTCTAATAGTACTTTCACTTCTCTTCTTGTGATGCAGATCTTAGAGCAGATGCCGCAAGTGGTTTCATCATTAGATGCACATGTTGAGAAGGGACTAGAAAGGTTATTGTTTTCCTTGAACATGCATTGGTGGAATTAATTCTATTTGTATATTCAAATGTACAAGATCATGCGTTATTTCTTTGTTGACGAAACCCATAATTTCCTATAAATTTCGTAACAATTGTTGAAGTACATGATTAAATTCTTTGTTTTCCAGCGATATATTATAATCAACATCTTTAATATTAAAATTGATAAATTTATCAGGGATGAAGAATGCTCTCGTTCTATTCTGTTTTAAGATTTTTCTGATGTACCACATACTCCTAGAATGATGAGATTCTGTTATGCAAACTAAACAACTTTAAGCAAATTTTTTCTTGATATTTCCTCTCCAAGCAAATTTTTCTTGATAATGAAGTTGCTGATGTGACCCGAAGAAATTAGCATCGATGACTACTTTGTTCTTGCTATTTGGTGTATCTAGTAAAAACTGCTTCTACTCTTACTCGACCCCCACAAGAATAAATGGTCTATGTCGAATTTTAAGATAAACCCCTTCTTTCTAAATATGTAGTTTTACGTCTATGATCAATTTGGTTTCTGTCTTGGTTTACTGGACTCCAAATGTTTGCAGCATTCCTCATTTGCAGACTGTTGTGCAATTACTTACAAACATGGAAGGCACCCAACTAAAATCTCTCTCCCAAATCCAACACCCTAAAGAGGTTCGATTCCTCTGACCCTTTTCCCCTGGGGATGAGGGGTTGTCTTGTTCTATAGAAGTTTGTTCACTCAATTTCTAATGTTTATCCTTTTCTCTTCCAGGAAATCGAGTCTCTTCATCAACTGAAAGATGTGGACTAACAGTTCTGCCCTTCTAGAACGTGTCACCTACAGTGTAAATATAGGATCATAAGGGTAAGTGCCCTATCCTTTTTCCTTGTTGTCCTGTATGGTACTGCATGTCTGTGCTTCAATTTAATTTGTTTAACCCCATTCTCTTCATGTTGCAAAAATAGAGTAAATGAAATTAATGAATGGCACATATCCTTATAACTTTTTGTTTTTTTTTTTTGGCTAAAGAGTATTAGATCCTTGCAAGAATTTGTTTTTTTTTTGTTTTTTTCTATCTTATCTACTTATAGGATTTCGTTTTCTCGTCTTGGATGCTTTTGTAAAAATTTATTGCCTTTGTGGCAAAACCTTATATGATCAGAACCATAATGCTAACAAATTTGAATTAGGAACTGCGTGTATATTGATGTTCACTGAATGTGAACTGTAACCCATTCTTTCTCACACTTGTTTTGTAAAATTGATGCTGTCATTCATGTACAATTTCTTGATATATCGTAAAGATTCGATATGGGGTTTTGTAATTTTGAAGCGTGTGTGATTATATCATGGTTTTGGGGACTCGGGTTTCTAATTACATGATGTCTTGCTCTGTTTCAAATGAGAATCTGTTTAAGAATTTGCAAATTGATAAAATTAGGTGGGCGAATTTTCCATCTTCAAAGAACACCACCTGATCCTCTATCAAAAAAAATGTCCAATCCCTTTTATGGGCTGTGAGGAATGATGAGAATTTGCCGAACAAGCTGTCTGAATTTGGTGGAGAGACCAAACGATTCAAAATATGATGATTGGGTTTTGGGATGAGGAGTTGGATTGTGTAGAGATCCCACTGTGTCATCCTAGTGAATACATAGTGCTACTATAAACAACTTTCGGATGCTCGACCATGCGAACGGACTCTCTAAGCGGGACACTTAACGCGTTAGTGACCATTTTCAGGCATTGCTTTCCTCTCATTCTCAATGTAGAATCAACGAAACTTGTGAAACCCAACTATTCAATCGTGAGCGATTTTAAGAGTTCCTTGTTTGATTTGACTGTTCAATGAGCGATTTTAAGAGTTCCTTGTTTGCTTAGACTGTGGTTGGATCCATGAAACTCTGTTCTAGTAATGCTCTTAAATTAATCCCATGGACAAATCCTTTACCTTACTAGAAAAAGTTATTACAAAGTTTTTAGAACGATTTTTACACCCCCTTTCACGTCCTCCCGGTGATATGATTCTAAAACAAACATATAAGTTTTTGCTAGTATAATACCATAATAAACATAGAATTCAGTCAACAACAATACCGTCAATTATGAGTTATATTTGATAACGATCAAGCAATAACACCATATTTAATTAGTGGTATTTACCCTAATCTTTTTCTTGTCTTACGCATGACATGTCTGAAGGTGACAAGCTATCACCGGTGAGACCATGAAACATGTCTGAAGGTGACAAGGTATCACCGGTGAGACCATGAAACATGTCAAGCTTACCTCGTAAGCTAGTCTACAAAAATAGGGTATTGTGTACCATTTCTTACGTTTGATCTCATTAGAGGCGTTTTCTTACGTTCATGTCTTGATATGATCTCATGGTGACAAGTAAGTCACTCTACCATCGGTTTGGTAAAGACTCCAGATTAATTCAATGAGGGCTAAATCACTATACTCTTGAACTAGAAAAAACATAAAATGAATGTTCATGAGTTTTATGAGCTTCCGGACCAAATAATTAATCATTGCATTTCAAATAATCTATTTCTCGACAACGAGGAAAAGAAAAGAGAAACGAGAAAGACAATGTGCCAACGAAGAAGAACGGACCAAATAGCTCAATTTTGTCACTTCTCACAAAAACGTCTCCCAATTCACCTTGTCTTCAGTTTTCAACTCTCCAAACAAAACCCATAACGTATGCTCTTCAATTTAAAATCCTTCTTAATTTAAGCTCTTTTTTGTTGCCTCCCTCACTTGTTTTATTATATATATTTATTTATTTATTATTTTTTTTTTTATTTTTTTTTTGTCTCCATCTCTTCCATAGAAATTCATCAAATTAACCTTAATTTTTTTAAAATTATAGCGTAAATGAGAAGATATCTATGTGAGTTTTTTTAAAATTAAAATACAAAATTAGATATTTTTATTTAACTTGGATCAATATTTGAAGAATGAGGGAGGAGTAGAGAAAAATTGGGTCAAAGATACCGAGTATATTTCATGTCCTCGATCCCACTTCACCCCACCTAAACTTCCGTCCGATCTCAATATAAATAAATAAAATTTTAACCGTTAAAAGTATGAAATATTGAAATTATTTAAATATTACTTTTTTTTTTAAATAAGATATTATTAAATTTATGGTTCTTTTTGTATTTTTTTTTAAAGTAGAAATTATATTGGAAAATAGATATTATTTATAAAAAATTCTTTAAAATAAAAAAATAATTTATATAATAGAAAAAAAAATATATGTGACAGAGCTTCCCATTTCGGCTCTGACACGTGTGAACATCTCTACCCAAATTATTATTATTATTATTATTTTTGTGTGGATAATTCTTGGGTGAACCTTTCATAGTCGAACATTATTTCTTTTTCATTAAAATTATTTATTTAAATCAAATTTGTAACTATATATTTTATTTTTCATAATGAATAAATTAATTTAAATAAAACTAAAATTTCAGTAATATGTGTTAGATGATGAAAGTTCCACATCGGCTAATTTAGGGAATCGTCATATGTTTATAATTTAAGAATATACTCTCAAAGTGGACAATATCATACCATTGTAGAGATTCGTGTTCGTCTAACATGGTATCATAGCAATGCCCTAAACTTAAGCCGTGCAAATCCTCAAAAAATGAGGCTCTAAGGTACGAAGGCAGTCAAAAATGACTAAGAGCCTCGATTAAGAGTTGATCCTAGCTTTAGGAGTTGGCTTCAGTTTTCATTCCCACGACTTGGTGGTGCGACTCTTTGACTCGACTTTTCAAACTCGAATTTCTCCTTCCTCGACTTCTCTTCAGTCCCCTTCAGTTTCCCTTTTTTGATTAACATTGTGTTTCAATCACGGGTTTCTACTTCATGCATATTGATGGTTTTTTTACATGAGTTTGGTTTAAGTTGTAGTTCAATGTTCGGTTGCAAGTAGGGGTGTTTGTGGGGTGACTTAGGTTGGGTTGGGACATTTTTTAGACCCAACTTAATCTGGTTAGGTTGGGCGGGTTTCTACTTCATGCATATTGATGGTTTTTTGACGTGAGTTTGGTTTAAGTTGTAGTTCAATGTTCGGTTCAAGTAGGGGTGTTTGTGGGGTGACTTAGGTTGGGTTGAGACATTTTTTTAGATTCAACTTAATCTAGTTAGGTTGGGTTGATCGAGTTTTTCGGATCATCAAATTTTTTTAGACAAATTGCATTATTTATTTATTTTATGCCACATAAGTTTCAAAATAAAATGATTGAATTGACCTCGAGTTGTTTTATAGTTTTAATGAGATCTCAAATTTTGTTTTTAATATTACGAAGTTTGGGTCAGTTTATTATATTCTAAATAATCGATGTTGTGCACATTTTTAGTAGCGGTGGTTTAATATCCAATTTATTAGTCGAATGGTTACACAATTTGAGCATAGTTCAACTAGCATAAAATTAGTACTCTTGACCACTCCACATATTAAAAATAAACGCTCTTTTAATTAAATTACAAGTTTAGTCTCTAAACTTAGATTTTGACGTAATTATACATATCTTTGAACAAAAATAATGAACATACTCCAAACAAATTTAAAAAATTTAGGATTTTATTAGACATAAAATTCAAATTTATATCTAATAAATTAATTAATTTTTAAAAATTTTAAAAAGGTCGATTTATTGAATAAAAAAAAATCGACGTATTAAACAAATTTGAAAGTTTAGGGGCTAAAATTCTAATTTTAACAATTATATAATACAACATAGCAATATAGCAGTCGAACCATCAATTTTTAAAATGATAAGTGATGTCTTATCTATTGAATTATATTCAAGTTGATAATAACTAAAACAAATCCGGTGAGTATTAAAATTCAATTAACGATAATAATCGCATCAAATCTATCGTCATCGATAATACTTTTAACACAAATATTACTTTAACGATATAATTTAAAATTTTACTTAATTTATTTAAGAAAATGATTAAAGAAGATACGTCAATTTAATTATTATATATTTAATTTAAAAATTAGATGAAATTTTATTTTAATTTATATAGAATAAAATAAATATGTAAATAGTTAAAAAAAAATTAATAATAATAATAGTAAAACTAATATTTTCTGGACCTTAGGTAAGTTGGGCGTACGTGTCATTTTAAAAGGAGGGACTTGAAATTCTGTTGTAAATTTGGTTAAATGCGTAGCCAAACAGCCCTGAGAGCGATTTTTTCTGCGTTAAACGACGGCGTATTGGGTGCTTCACGTGACGTCTTTTTCTTCCCGGAAAAAAATGCCCAAATTAAAAAAAAAGTTCGATTTTTAAAGACAAATAAATATAAATAAATAAATAAAAAATTTCGCAGTACCGCCATTGATGTATATATAAGAAGCTCACAGAGCTGTTCTTCGTCGTCTTTGAATCTTGAATTTTGCCTTGCGCGGCATAACCCTATCAATGGATTCTATGGCTGCGCTGACTCTACCGTCTTATTCTTTTTCGTCGTTGTCGTCTTTGTTCTCCGTTGCTTCTTTCGACCATGGAGCTTTTGTTTCGAATGATTCTCGCATTCGAATGTGTTCCACTGGCGGAGTTGTATGATTCCTCTTTCGTTGAATACGTGTTTTCTTTGTTTTGGAGATGAGTTTAATTGTTTTTGTTGTTCTGATGGCTCCGACTTTGTGCGTTTGATGATGCAATGACGATGATTCGTTATGTTTCGCTGTTTCTTGTTGTTTTTGAAATTTCGGATTCCGTTGCTGTTCTATTTCGTTTGTTTTGCTCATGAGAGGATTTGATATACTTAAGAGATTTTTGTGTTAAGATAAATGGAAAAAAAAACGAGATAGAACAGTTTTTAAGTGTTGAATGTACTGTTGCTACAATTTTAGCGTCACGTGAAGCTTTGGGGGTGTTTCCACTTCCTTCGTTGTTTCTAATAATTGTGCTGCTATATTATATACCTTTTCTGACCACACTATAATTTGTTTCTGGTAAAAGGTGTCTCTATCAATGTTCTATTGCATTAATTCTTGTGTTTCTGATTTTCTTTTGAAACTAAAATTGAATTCTTCCAGAGATGTGATCTATCCGAGTCTTTGAAGCATGTGAACGGGAAGCCTACAATTCCAATTGTTACTGAACGGACGCTGCCCAAGTTCATGGAGTCAGCTCGCATGGAGAAAATAGTTAATAGGAGTAGTACGCGCTTGAAATTGTTTTCTGGGTCTGCGAATCGTTTACTCTCACAGGTTAAGCTCTTCTGCTGTACTCATGAAACGCTTTTTAGTTTTAACTCTACACTGGAATGAAAGTTTTGTTTGTATATGAACTTTTCAAATGAATGTTTAGAAATCACTATCGAGGTGGCATGATATGTGTTGGGTTTTTTCTTGATAGTTTATTCTGATTATTTTTTTCCTGCCTTTGTGTGGAGGGGGTTTGAAGGTTTAAATAATGATATATTGGTCAACGGCAGGTCACCCTGCACATCTTGTTCGCTAATCAAATGATTTTTTTTTACCTAACTTCATTGTAATATTTTGATTGTCATTCTATATTTCAAATATTTTTTTTCCTTTACTCTTTATTAGTTTGGATATGCATGATTTTTACACTTGATGTTGCTCATTTAGATCTATCAATACATGTTCATAATGGCGAAAAATATTATGAGTTCAGTTTATGCGCCAACCATTTTTTTTTTCTGGATGATTTGGTTGAACTTGTGGGAAAGTGGAATAATAAATATGTTTTTTGTGTGCATCCTTATGGAGGATCGATGGTGACTGAACTTGTCATGTTCAATTAAAGTGACTGACAAGGCTGAATGGTTTTGGACATCACTCTGGCTCAGCATGCAAATATAAATCCTTCTTTCTCTCTGGAGACTTATCTTTGTTTGCTAAATTTGAGTTATTTAGTTCTCAGGAAATTGCCTGTTACATGGGGCTGGAGCTTGGAAAGATTAACATTAAGCGTTTTGCGGATGGCGAAATATATGTTCAATTGCAAGAGAGTGTTAGAGGATGTGATGTATTCCTAGTACAGCCCACCTGTCCCCCAGCCAATGAGAATCTTATGGAGCTTTTAATTATGATAGATGCTTGTAGGAGAGCCTCAGCCAAGAATATTACGGCTGTGATTCCGTATTTTGGATATGCTAGAGCTGATAGAAAGGTAATATTTTCAGCTGCATATTTTCACAACTCAATGTTTGTGTATGCTTGAAAGTGCTGATTCTTAAAAGCATGATGAATCCAAGTTTGATGTATTTTGTTAAAGTTTGAGCAGAAGAGATATTATGAGCATATAAGTATTTACATTGAGTTGATTTGATGAATTGTTCTTGGATGGAAGTGGTTCTATTATTTGCTGTTAACAGCCTGTTTAAAATCTTCCATCAGACTCAAGGGCGTGAATCCATTGCTGCGAAGCTTGTTGCCAACATCATTACTGAAGCGGGTGCAAACCGTGTTCTTGCTTGTGATCTTCATTCTGGACAATCCATGGGCTACTTTGATATTTCTGTGGATCATGTAAATTGCCATGTAGGTTCAATTTGTTTTGATCTTCTTTTTGCCAGCATTTGAAAATATTGGATTTTTACTGAATTTTGCATTGTTTGTGATTTACTTTATAGCCCGTGATTCTTGACTATCTTGCTAGCAAGAGGATTTGTTCTGGTGATTTGGTTGTGGTTTCTCCTGATGTTGGAGGAGTTGCCAGAGCACGCGCTTTTGCTAAAAAGCTGTCCGATGCACCTTTAGCTATTGTCGATAAGAGGCGTCATGGACACAATGTTGCCGAGGTATTTTCCATTATACTCTATGGCTGTGATCTTGTTTTGGTGTAAGATTTTGTTTCTTGAACTCACTGAAATCCATTCTCTAATTTGGGAGAAATGTTTAGTTGAAACAGGACTTCCCCTATGTTTTCTGCAGTCAACTCCTTAACCAAAGAAATTAGAGGGTAAATAATCTGATTAGTGATGCATTTGAGGATAAACATTGTCTAGGCCATATTGGAGTTCATTAACAAATCAATTTGTTGACAGCTCATTAATAAATTATATCAGCCTTGTCCAATAGGTAAGAAGTTGTCGAATGTAAATTCCTCACATCGTGTCTGCCAAAAACGGGATCGCTGGGCTGCGAGCACTGTATGCCATCACACCGATATGAAATGTTTGATGCCGTGGCGTTTTCCCTCTCTGGACTAAAGCTTTGGATTAAATTGCTGAAGGCTTAAAAACCTGATGTAGTGTGTTTGCAGGTAATGAACCTGATTGGTGATGTAAAAGGGAAGGTTGCAGTTATGGTTGATGACATGATTGACACAGCTGGTGAGTTAAGAATCTGAATTGATATCAACTTTGCTGAATGGTTCTTTTGAAGACATATCTTATAAGCTATTGTGGGTTTGTAGGAACTATTACAAAAGGGGCTGAACTGCTACATCAAGAGGGAGCCAGAGAAGTTTATGCTTGTTGCAGTCATGCTGTTTTCAGGTTTATTCCCTCTTCCTTTTGATTCAAAACATTCTCTACTAAAACTGAAGTACACCAACTGAGATTATTACAATAAAAGATCCCCAATCAGTTGAATTCAAATTGGTGCACTCTCAAGAATTTAGACTAAGAACTCAACTTACTTCTCCGTGTTCTATATCGTCTTCCCTTCATTTTTATTATAGGGACGAGGCAAAACTAGAACTTCTCATAACTGCCCAAGCCCACCGCTAGCAGATATTGTTCTCTTTGGGCTTTCCCTCAAGGTTTTTAAAACTTTCCCTTTTGGGCTTCCCCTCAAAGTTTCTAAAACGCGTCTGTTAAGGAGAGGTTTCCACACCTTTATAAAGAATGTTTCGTTCTCCTCCCCAACCAACGTGGGATCTCATAATCCACCCTTTTTCAGGACCCAGCGTCCTCATTGGCACTCGTTTCTCTTCTCCAATCGATGTGGGACCCCTAATCCACTCCTTTTGGGGCTCAGCGTCCTTGTTGGCACACTGCTTTGTGTCCACCCTCTTTGGGCTTAGCCTCCTCATTAGCAAATCACTCGGTGTCTAGGTCTGATACCATTTGTAACGGCCTAAGCTCACCACTAGTAGATATTGCCCTCTTTGACCTTTCCCTTTTGGACTTTCTCTCAAAGTTTCTAAAACACGTCTACTAGGAAGAGGTTTCCACACCCTTGTAACAATGTTTCGTTTTCCTCCTTAATCGACGTGGGATCTCACTAATATTTTCCTATGTCCATTAATATCAATAAAGATCATGTTGCCCGTTGCTTCTAATCTTATGGCATCACCACTTAAATTCAAATCTCTTCATTGTTATGTTATTATTAACTGCCCTCAAAAGTTTCCAATATTCAGTATCAAATATCATCTAACAAAGTTCTCCATCTGCAGCCCCCCTGCCATTGAGAGGCTCTCCAGTGGCATCTTCCAAGAAGTGATCGTTACGAACACAATTCCAGCTCCCAAAACTCACTTCCCTCAGTTGACAGTCCTCTCGATCGCAAACTTGATGGGCGAAACCATTTGGCGTGTTCACGATGATTGTTCGGTGAGTAGCATTTTTCTATGAATATCCTATGGAATTACAGAACTTCAGTTGCCGCTTCTCCCTTATTTATGGAGGTTCTGTGGCCACCTTATTTCATAATTGGCATACAGTTCCCTTATTTATAAGTTTGGGCTAAGCCCCCAACTGAGTGATCATGTTTAGCAGAAAAGAGAGAAAAAAAACAAGAAAATAGGCTGCCAATCTTATGGCAGATTACATATATAATAGATTAGGGTGTGTAGCTAACATCAAGGTTCCTGTTATTCAGTTTCCTTGGAATGTATAAATATCTGTTTCTCATTTTCAATCTCTTAAATAAGAAGTCTATACAATTTTGAGTCACTAAGGTCTATCTAGCTGCCCGACATACCGAGCGGTGATTGATATATATACTATTTTCTTTGGAGTTCGGGATTTTAATTGTCAATGTGAGCATACTCAACGGTAATTGATATATACTATTTTCTTTGAAGTTTGGAAGCTCGTATCTTCATATTTTCTTGTGGATTCTATCATTGAGTGTTTCGTTTATGTATTTTAGTTCGAACTTGCATCCTCTTATTCATGTGAAGAGTTTTGTAATTAAATCATTTGGGAATTATTTGCTGTTTTGGGAGAAAAATCTCTCCACTTTTTTACCTTCTTGGCTCGTAGGTGTCGGAACATAATAGGGGTGGGGAAAATCAATCGCTTCCGACCAATTAGGAAGTAATATTATTCATTACACGAAGGGATATGAGAGCATTTGAAATTTATACGAGGATTTGCAGGTAGTTCGAGATGATAGAATATACTGATTTTCTAAATTCTTGAAGGACATACAATAATGGATTAGTTATCTATTGAATCTAGTAGAATTAGGTTATATCGGATTTAAACGCTATAGATTTAATAGAATTATATATCCGTGGTTAAATTCTCTCTACTCGTTGTTGGGTTGCTTTTTGCTTGTTTGTCATATAACTTTGCTTTCAAACTCTTTCAAAATTTCTTTACCCTCGTTTTCTAAAACCTTATTCTCAAATTGGGCCAATGGTTTAAGCATACGGTGTCCAAATCGGGCCAGTGGTTTGAGCATACGTTGCCCAAATCGAAATCGAGCTAGAGCTTTGAGCATACGTTGCGCGATTGTAGGCCCGACACGATTCTAAGTTGGCAATTATGCAACTTTCACTCTCAGTGTTGAGAGTGAACGTTACATAATTGTCAATTTCTCTAAGAAAAAAGACGATTACAACGTGTATTATCGAGCAAGATAGTCGTTAGATATTATTTTAAGCAAGGATATCACTTTTGGTTTACTTGTATTTATACCACGAGATTGGGTTCACAAAATCCATTTATTTTGATATTAAAGTAAAATAAAACCACGATTAGAGCCAAAAAGTGGGGATTCATCAAAGAAAACCGGATTCCATATGAACAACGGTGGACTTTAAGCCCTCAATTTTCTCCTACTTTATCCTCCGTCTAGAGCACCGGCGGCGTAATTCCCATTCCGTCGCAATATTCCTTCACTGCGCCGCTAATCTCCGACGAAGACTCTCCACCAGACGAAAAAACCACGGCGGCGCATTTTTCCGGCAGTCCATGTAATATCACCCTGCAGCAATTGTAACTCACCTCGATCTCATTGCTCTTTATTGCCATGTCGATCTCCCCCTGGCATCCTTCCACCGCGTTTAACGCGTTCAAACAGGCCGCCGTGGACCAATCGACTGAATCAATCGCCTTCGGAAACTTTCTAAGAGCGAAGGCGGAGTGAATCAACGATGAAATCGTTAGGGCCAAGAGGAAGAACCCGAAAAATCGAACCGATTTCGACATCTTCAGGTTCGTTCGAGCTTCTTCTCTTCTTTTCACCCTTGGATGATTCTCGATTGGACTTTTACGTCTTCGATTTGCTGTTTATATATGTCTAGGGAGAGAGAAAGAGAGATGGAAATCTGGTATTCATTTTGATTTCTGTTTCATTTGTGCACCTCAACACGGTTTTAATTGAATTCAACAAGCAGATTACGAATCGATTCATTTCGTGCCGATGAATTTGCTTCCTACAAGTTTTAAATGTCTTTCAACTCATTCGGTTTGATTTCAGTTTCGTTTTGGCTGCATTTATTGCGTTTGGAGTTTCACACAAATCACATCCAACACTCTCACGATCTCACGCTTATTTCTTCGGTTGATTGATGATTGATATTGCTTGCCTCTATCCTGACGAAATCTTCCGTATTCTTTAATCTAGTTTTTTCTGTGATGCATTCTTCTAATTAGTTCTCTAACTATTGAATTTATCTATAAACAAATCCTTGGAGTTTTCCTTGTCTTCTGTTCTTCGTGTTTATCTAAATTGAGCCGGTGAGTTGTGCGATCCTAATATGATCGTGTCTACGAAGTGATGAGAGTTTTGTAAATCAAGGGGACTGATACATAAAAAAAAATTAGGATCGCACAACTTATAGATTCACTTTAGATAAACATGAAGAACAGGAGACTGATACATAAGAAGAACGACTCCTCCATACTTACCAGACTCAGTTTAGAATACCATAATTTAGGGGCAGAAAGTGTGATCATTGGATAAACCGTAGAGAGCAAGTAGGTTATATGTACTTAATCTAATAAGACTAGGAATAATTCGAAGCCATGAAATTAGTCAACTCTAGGACCCTGAATGAGCACGGAGCTTAAGAAATGCTGCATAGGAGGAGTTTCAATGAACGAGAGGCTACAAACAGACTGCTTGTTGAGTATTTTTAACCTATTTTTTGTTATATAAAAGGATCATAAGTCGTAGTTCGTTGATGGGAGCGTTTGTAGCCTTCGAGTTGCAAGGTTTAAATGATATTTGAATGTTACCTTCTCGAGACTCCGAGCCATTTTGCAAACCTTAACTCTTTTAATATAATTTTTTTGTTACTAATGTTTGCTATGTCGGAAATTTATTATTTCAAGCCTCTTAATATATATATAAATATAAAAAGATATAAATTGAATGTTTTTTTTTTTTTTTTTTTTTTT